GGGCATACTAAGAGGGAATGTCCTAATCCCAAGAAGAAGGGTGGTTCAAACCACAAGAACCACGATGATGCTAGTTCATCGGTTAGCTTGGCATCAAGCGATGAAATCGGTGATGCATTGATCTTGAGTGTTGATAGTCCCATTGAGTCTTGGATCCTTGATTCGGGAGCTTCATTTCATTCTTCTCCATGTAAGGAGATTTTCCAAAACTTCAAGAGTGGCAAGTTTGGAAAGGTGTACCTTGCGGATGATGAACCTTTGGATATTGTGGGGAAGGGAGATGTTATGATCAAGACTTCAAGTGGGAGCTCATGGAAGCTTGAAGATGTTAGGTACATACCTAAGCTAAGGAAAAATTTGATTTCGCTGGGTCAACTAGACTCAAGCGGTTTTAGAACCATGTTTGGTGAAGGTACTTGGAAGGTGTCAAAGGGAGCTATGGTGGTGGCTCGGGGCACGAAGACCGGCACATTGTACACTACCTTAGGGTGTAAAAGCATGATTGCTACAACCGCAAATGATGAGACTAAGCTTTGGCATACTCGGCTTGGTCACATGAGTGAGAAAGGGATGAAATTGCTAGCTTCAAAGGGTAAGTTGTCGGGGTTGAAATCAATCGACATGAAATTTTGTGAGACATGTGTTTTTGGGAAACAAAAGAAGGTGTCTTTCACAAAAACCAAACGGTCCTTGAAGAAGGAGAAGCTAGAACTTGTGCACACGGATGTTTGGGGCCCATACCCCATCAAGTCCCTTGGTGGTTCTCACTATTTTGTCACTTTCATTGATGATTCAACCCGGAAAGTATGGGTATATTTCATGAAGCACAAGTCGGAAGTGAATGAGAAGTTCAAGACTTGGAAGACGGAGGTTGAAAATGTTTCGGGCAAGAAGATTAAGGCAATCAAGTCCGACAATGGAGGAGAGTATGAGTTGGAAGCTTACAAAAACATTTGTAAGGAGCATGGCATTGTTTTGGAGAGGACCATTCCCGGTAAACCTCGCCAAAACAGGGTAGCGGAGCGGATGAATAGGACTTTACTGGAGAGGGCAAGGTGTATGAGGTTGTTTGCGGGCCTCCCAAAGTGTTTTTTGGGCGGATGCCGTTAGTACCGCGGCTTACTTGATAAACCGTGGACCTTCGGTACCTTTGGAATTCAAGATACCGGAGGAGGAGTGGAGTGGTAAGGAGGTGTCCTACACTCACTTGAAGACCTTTGGTTGTGTGGCCTATTTGCAATCCGAAAAGAGAGACAAGCTAGACCCAAAAGCCATCAAATGTTACTTTATCGGGTATGGATGTGAGAAATATGGTTATAGATTGTGGGATCCTAAGAATCGAAAGATTGTTAGGCATTGTGACATCACTTTTGATGAGAGCTCTTTGTACAAAGACAACTTTGGTGGGAAATCCGTTGAGAAAGAATCAATTGAAGATGAGCGGAAATTTGTTGAGCTAGATGGTAAGGTTAGAAGTGATAAGGAAGTTGAACAGGTAGAAGTTGAGGTGCAAATTCAACAAGCATCTCCTCAACATGGTGCTCATGTTCCGGTGGATTCGGATTCAAGTGATTCGGATGATGATGATCACTTGGAAACGGATGAGCGAGTAGTTATGGGTGAGCCCGTTGTGGTTCATGGAGAGCCATCTACACCACCAACGGTGAGGAGATCATCAAGAACAATCAAGCCACCACACTGATATTCTCCATCCTTGCATTATTTGTTGTTGACGGATTCTGGTGAGCCGGAATGTTATAAAGAGGCAATGGGCATGGGTGACTCGTTGAAGTGGGAGCAAGCAATGGAAGATGAGATGCCTTCATTGGAGAAAAACAACACTTGGGTGCTGGTTGAGTTGCCTAAGGGCAAGAGAGCACTTTTGTGCAAGTGGATCTTTCGAAAGAAAGAAGAACCGGATGGTACAATTCGGTACAAGGCAAGACTTGTGGTGAAAGGTTTTTCACAAAAGGAGGGCATTGATTATCATGAGATCTTTGCTCCGGTTGTGAAGCTAACCACTATAAGGATCTTGTTGGCTATAGTGGTTTCGGAGGACTTATTTCTTGAGCAAATGGATGTAAAAACCGCGTTTTTACACGGTGATTTGGAGGAGGAAATCTACATGAAGCAAACGGAAGGGTTTCAAGTTCCGGGTCAAGAGAACTTGGTGTGCAAGCTTAAACGGAGTCTATATGGATTGAAACAAGCTCCTAGACAATGGTACAAGAAGTTTGACAATTTCATGCAAGGCAATGGTTTCGTGAGAGCGGAAGGTGACAATTGTTGCTACTTTCAAAGGTATGACAATGGCTATATCTACTTGCTTTTGTATGTTGATGATATGTTGATTGCGGGAACTAGTATGGAAATTGTCAATGACTTGAAAAAGAAGTTGTCAAGAAGATTTAAGATGAAAGACTTGGGTGAGGCCAAGCAAATACTTGGCATGAGAATTTCTAGGGATAGCTCAACGGGTGTGTTGAAGTTATCTCAAGAGGAGTATGTCAAGAAGGTGCTTAAAAGATTTAACATGATTGATGCAAAGCCTCGAAGCTCACCTCTTTCAAGTGAGCTCAAGTTGACTAAGGAGGATTGCCCAAAGACAAGGGAAGAGAAGGACAAAATGACCATTGTTCCTTATGCTTCGGTCGTTGGTAGCATGATGTATGCTATGATTTGCACGAGGCCCGACATTGCTCACGCAGTGGGAGTTGTGTGTAGGTTCATGTCAAATCCGGGTGAGAGACATTGGGAAGCCGTGAAGTGGCTATTGAGGTATTTGTTGGGTACTTCAAGTATGGCTCTTTGCTTTAGGAGAAATGGAGTTGTTTTGGAAGGTTTTGTTGATGCCGATTTTGGAGGATGTTATGATTCAAGCAAAAGCACTTCGGGGTATGTGTATACTATTGGTGGTACGGCCATTAGTTGGATGAGCAAGCTCCAAAAGTGTGTCTCTATGTCTACGACGGAAGCCGAGTATGTGGCTATGTCGGAAGCGGGAAAGGAGATGGAATGGTTGAAGGGTTTCCTTGAAGAAATGGGCATGAAACAAGATGTTTGTGCGTTGTATAGTGATAGCCAAAGTGCGGTTCAATTGGCTAAGAATCCTATGTTTCATTATCGCACTAAACACATCAAGAGGCGTTATCACTATACTAGGAGTTTGGTGAAGGATGGCACGATGTGTTTGAGGAAGATTGCCGGTTCAAAGAATCCGGCAAATATGCTCACTAAAGTTGTTTCTAGTGACAAATTGAGGTTGTGTAGGACCTCAATTGGACTCCATCATTAATTTGAAGGAGTGTTGTGCTATGGTGAAATTGTTTTGATGAATGTATTAAGTGTTCTTGAGGAAGGAGTGTGTATGTGGTAGTCTATGGTGCATGTTTGATCCTATCTCCAAGTGGGAGATTGTTAGGATTAGTGTGGAGATAGATAAATACATGGAGACATAAGGAGATTGCATAGAAGCTGCCTTATTGTTAAGGTTCGACCAAACTTGTGAAAAGTTCGGTCGAACCCGGTTTTAAGTCAGTAGGTGCACCAGTTTTCATTTCTAGAGGAGGAGTGACAAAACCCAAGGAGGTTCGACCGAACCACCCTAGGTTCGACCGAACTCTGGGTAGGTTCGGCCGAACCTACCCTGCTCTCTATTTCGTCGCTTCGTTTTCGGCTTGTGCGATTTGCTTTAATCTTAGCCGTTGGATTGTATTTTCTACCTAGACTATATATACCTTTTCTAAGCCTCTTTGTTGAGTATTCACAAACATTTAAACACATAGAGAGGTTTTGAGAGGGTTTGTGAGGAGCATTTGAATTCTATACAATTCATGCTTGTAATTCTTGAGTTCATTCATCATCAATATTACTCCATAGTGCAAGGGTGGGTTTTTTCTCCCGGTTCTCGGGTTTTCCCATGGTAACATTATCTTCCTTTTACTTGCTTTAATTCCTTCAAAGTTGTTCTTGATTGTTATGCTTGTTTGTTCATTGCTATTGTGGGTTGATTGCAAGTTAGTTGAACACTTTAATCCTTACACCAGACCTCCCTCCAAAACTTCATGGATTTACATGTCTCCCAAAAGTATTCATCAAATGCTTCCTCTTCCAGTTCCTTGTTGTGACTATTAGACTATTTTGGAAATATTTGGGATCTGCTTATTGTGGTGAAGTGCTGCTATTTTTCACATTTCTCATTTTGTTATGGAGATAATCATATTTAGAACTTAAAAGCCTTCAACAGAGAGTCAAAGCTTAAGATTTAATCCGCCAATAATTAAGATCTTATATAGAACCTGTTAATCTAAGATACACTTGGGGTTTTCATTCACTTATAATACTCCAAAGCACTATTTGCTAGATGGGTGATCATGACTCCACAGTGAAGACTGATGCTTCACTTATAGGTGAAGATCCAACACTCCCTCAAGAATGTACTAAAGCAAACTTCTTACTTGTATCATACTTAACATCTCACAAGCATTATTATTGACTCAGACTTTGGAATTGATTTTCAAGCAGAAAATCTCAACATTATAAGGTAGTTTCTTACAAAAATAATCCTATTCCAAATCGGATAGACCACATTATTGAGGGGAGTAATTATTCGTTTGTTCAACTTAGGTGATGGATTAGAAATTGTTTCGTGTTTAATGGTAAAGGAAATGCAACTTCATTCACTGATGGTTAATAGCATGCTATTTATTAACCTTTTTTCTTTATTTAGTTTACACATTAACTACACCATCATCAAGTAAATGAGATAAAAGGTTATATGATCCTATAGGACAAATTCAAGAAATATCTATATAGAACAACTCAACAACAAAAGCAAGTCTTCCTAAACAATGCATTTTAAAGCATGACAAAAGACAATTAATATATCATAATGTGTATTTCACATATTTTAGAAGATGTAAGTGGGAAAAATAACATGATTAAGAGCAAGTATTACCTGTGACCTTTCAGAATCTGCCATTATCAACCCTTCATCAATTTCATAGGAATGATGTGATAGTCTCATCAAAACCTTTGTGCAAAACCAAGCTTTCTACATAAGTCTGGAAAGAAATCCGGCTACTCATGATATGTTTTTTTTCCAGAGTTCGCGTTTGGTTGCTTGCAATGTCATAAGACATCGTAGCGAGAGTGTTGTTCAACAAAAACGTATTGCTATTTTGACCATAGACAACATTTGAACATTCAAACAACTTGGAAGCATCTAAGTTCGGCTCTCCTGAAAACCATAGCCTCCATGGATTCTCTCCGCCATCCTTTTTCAAAACCCATATGCAGATACTTTCAGAGGACATCGATAAAACTGCCAAGGACTCGCCATGGGCAAAAATAAGCCTAGCAGTGCTTTCTTTCACAGAATCAGACAGTTGCATAACACTAAATTCTTCGACATCAAAGTCATACAAGTAGAGTTTCCTATTAGCTCCGGGTTTTCTGTGCAAATCATTATCAACCCAATATACAACCCCTCCACAACAAACTAACCCTCCACAACGCCTAAACCTCGATATAGCCCAACCCGACTCACTCACCGGATTGGGTTTAACTCTCCAAAGGTGATCAGTGAGTGAGTATACAGCAATATAGGCCTTATCATCTTTAAAATTACGAATATTAGTCTTAATGGCAAGCACCTTATGATCATTACTAGAAGGGGAAAATCCTAAAGCATATTTTTACACAACTACGACGAATTCTACTCCAACGAACTGCAATAGGACAACGGGGAAGAGACAATGATTTTCTTATAGAAGGGTTCCACAATCGAACCGCATTCAGACCGTATTTCAACAAAATCAACCCATTACAGTTTCCAGAAATTGAATATGGTTCAGGCAATTCAGCAAGAACTGCAACCTTATTCAATGTGTCACTACTACGAATTGTGAAAAAACATCCAACCCCCCACAAATCTTTCAATTGCTATCAGATGATCAGTACTTTTTTGGGAATAATTGTAATTGTAACAATTAAGATGCAAAGGAATGAAATTGGAGGAATCAATGAAAGAACACCAAGTTCTACAAACAGACCTGAATTTTAAAAGGGTTTTTGAAGGTAGCCATGCCAAGATCTCCAACAATAATTCCGGCGGCAAGTAGATGTCCTCCGGCAATCTGTCGACCCGTGAGAGTTCCCTCTCCATACGACTCATTTCGGCCATTGAACTCATAATTAAGCAAAAGAGATGATGATCTGAGTTGCAGAGTTGGTACTCTTTGGTATAAAAGGGGGAAATTTTTTCTATGAAGTATACGTTTTCTTTTGGGGGGGGCAGTTTCATTTGACTATTTGAGTCTATAAGTTACTAATTGACCCAAAGTTTGGTTTATTTCCCAAAGCAAACGGCCATTAGCTACTCCCTTCTATTCCTATTTTTTTGCCCCATTGTCAAAATATGGGATAAATTTTACCAACTTTGACCATAAATTTCCGTGTTCATAAAAAAAAAAAAGTCATGTGGGATCTTGTTTGTTTCATTTCGTTGTAAAATTAATTAATATCAATTTTTTATATAAAAATGGAGATGTAAACATTTTAAAACGTGTTTTGAAGACTACGTAAAGTCAAATAGGGCAAAAAATAAAGGGATAATGGGAGTACAATACATTGGTATTAAATTTAGCACCCTTACAACATATTAATATAAAAATTATAACCGGTGACGTATTGGTATTAAAATTAGCAAAATGTGACAAATTAGTATAAAAGTTTTTATTAGGGGGCAGTTAGTATAAAAATTAGTAAACGACGATAATTAACCTTTATTCATATCGAAGTAAGCATGTATCATATTATTTTTATATTTATTACTCACTTTTTATTTTATTTTTTCTTAGTGTTAAATATTGTTTAATATTGTTAGAATTGTATTAAAAGCAAGGAATAAAAAAAGGAGTAAAAAATGAAATCATATAAAATAGAGTAAAATTCAAGATCATGCAAAAGAGTTATTCAAAAAAAATTGAAAGATCAAGATTTAATTACACATTATTTGCTTTACATCGAGCTTTCAATTTTTGCAATATAAAAAAACATACAAACAAATGTGTTCCTAATTTTTATAATTTTCTCACTTTTAAACCAATTTCAACTAGTAGTAAGATGTGAAATGAGGGAGCCCTAGTTCCTCATTATGAGGAACACTTTTGTTCCTCATAATGGCATTTTGGAAAATAATGTGATGTTTTTCACTTGTGGGGATCGCCTATGTGTAATGAGTAGAACTCTCAGATCTTGACACATACCCATGAGGAACAAAACCTGTTCCTCACAATGAGTAACAGGGAATTCCCCATGTGAAATCTTCCCTTCAGAAACTTGTGGTCGATTGCTGTCCAGTCCTAGGAGAAAATTGTAAACCACCCAACGGGAAGGACTGGCTCAACATTCAACACATTCCGCACATAAATTTCAACTGAGTAGGTGTGCTCTAATCCCTTCATTCTGTTTTTCATTACTTAATCCTAAGTTCTTCTCTGCTTTAAAAAAGTGTTTAAATATTTTTTTCACTCTCAATTTCTAATTTACATCTCTCTTTCTACATGATCTTTGATTTAGCATGGGGGTTCAGTTTCGCAGTCTTCCCCATATTAAACTTTGTGAAGATACAGTGCACTAACTTGCCTTTTCAATTATTTTAGAACAACATAATGCAAAATTGTTTACAGAGAATTTCGTTTGATACAATAATATATGATCCAACCTTTAGGAGTCATAATTGCTCAGTAGTTGTGATGGTCATCTGCTGTCTTGGTTATTTTCAGCTGGCATAGACATTTTCATTTTGCATAAATCTAGATCGTGTGTGCCCCCCCACCTTCAAGTATATCAACTTACTTTGCTATTTAATTCATGTAGTATTAGGCACTGTTTTATTTCCATTGATTCATCTACATCTATATGTTTGTGCAACGAGATTTTATCTGGTGTAATTGCGTGTTTGCACCCTAATATAGACTGGACTAGGGAAACCTGGATAATGCTTGTATGCACACCTGATTGATTTTGAGATTTCAACTCCAGAGTTGTTACTAGATTGGACTATAAGAATAAATATATAGTGAAAACTTGGTGAACTTCCTACCATTTCTTACATTTTTAGATGCCTAAATTTGAGCATTAGGCGTGTATATTGGTCGGAGAGTGTACTACCTTATCTTATGTCGCCTTCTTTACCTGAAAATAGCCACCTGTTTATCCTCTCAGGTACTTGTTGATGAGTATCAGACTATCAGGCATGCAGCGATTCGTTCTTTATTTGCCAAGTCCCATATACGTCAGAGTATCAGCTGCATTCTGTTCCTTCAGTTTGCCTCATGCTCAGGTTCTAAACTTTTGCTCTCAATATATTATCTCCCTTTCATTTGTAGTGACTTCTTGACGAAGTCCTGTGACACTAGTGAAGTTGTCGATGTCATAATTCTGAGTGACCAGCCTTTTGTTTTTTTGATCAAATGTGATGTAGAATATCAAATTCCTTTTATGCAAAGCTGGATGCAAAATCCTTTCAGGTAAGATTGGGAAGTATTTAAAACTTTCATTTTACTTAATGTAGCTAATTCCTTATATCATATCAAGTAGTCTACTTATTACTGTATATGCAACAGCTTTTTCACAAAGAAGTTCAAGCAGATTCTCTGTTGTAGCCTTCTTCAAGAGGAATGAGTACAGTATGATAGCTACGGCCCTTAATCTGCTGTTAAGACATCTTAATATCAAGTTTTCGGATCACCAGGCTAAACTCTATCAACTCACATCATCTAATTTTAGTTCAATTTGTACTGAACAAGTACATATGTTTCTCAGCTCTCATGCTGCAGCCTGCAGCTATGTTCAATCAACTCATATCATCTAATTATTAGTTCTTTCTGGTTAGTGTATCTTGGAGTGATCGAGTAGCCCATTTATTCTTACTATTAGTTATTCATGTACAAAACATCGAACTCTATGTGCTAGTTGTAGCTGCCTAATGATCGAATTCAGCCATAATTTGTCAGCACCTGTAAGAAGCTTTCAGAACAAAAAGATTTTGCCTTTATTTCTAAGTAAGATTACAATTATTAGTTGCACAAATCCTAAAAGTAGTCCTAGACGATATGTAAGTAATTTCGTTTAATAAGCTTTAGTTGTTAGATCTTGTTTATAAACTCCGGTTTTCGAGATCCCAAAATATTATTTACTGAACTTACTGAACATAAATACAAAAACATCATCGACATATACTTCATACTTAATAATTAACATGTTGCAATTGGGACCAAAATGATATAGGCCATACATCCATGACATATGATTCTTTTTAATCTCAAATCCTTACATGCGAGCTAAGGCATGCGCCACTGTATTACACCATTGTTGAGTGGCAGTAGCGAAATAAAACAAAACAGAGCATTTAGCTTCCACGGCTTGCAACTTCAGACAGTGCTACTAGTAGCCGAGTATGCATCTCTCTAAAGAACAACTGTCACAAAAAAATTGAATAGCAAATCATAACTATACTGAAAATTTTAACCAAATAAAACCAAACAAACAAGTATATAGCCTATTTGTGCCTAAAAAAATCACAAGAAATCCCCCTTACTTTTACCTAAGGGCATAGAGAGTTAGAGAGTGGAAAACACAAATTCCAGAGGATCAAGTAGTAAAGGCTAACAGAAATAGAAAATCGAAGTGTTGAATACTGATTTAAAGGCAAAATCAAGGCAGAGAAGCAAAACTTGAGGTAGAAAAAGGTATATGTCAAACTGTACAAGGAAATAAGTTGAAATTATATAGCTAAGTTAAATTCATATCACAGGTACCAACTACCAAGTCAGTATTTAAGCATGATCTATTCAGGGAAAGACAGTTAGAAGCTTAGAGATTCTTTAAGTTGTCACTAGATACTTTAGCAATATTATATGATTACAAGACAGGCATACATAAACTGGTGCTCAGATTTTGAACGATATTAGAGATACAGGACATACAAATTTCGTGTTTCTATGACAGAACCAATTTCAGTATAGACACAAAGAACAAGCAACATCACACACTGAGGCAAGGGCTATGATGGGTCATATACCTGAAAGAGAGAGATTCCCAATATACAGTACTACTAGCTTTCTTTTCCTTTTGTTTTACACTCTAAATTCTCCTGGCTGGTAAATTTGATTGTTCTTTTACAAGTCTAAAACAAAGATACTCGAATGAAAACAACATTAAGTGTCCCTAGCAAAGTGTATATGCATCCCTTCTATCAGGGGTAGTCTTCCATAATCCATATCAGCCATTGTCTATTATTTTATTTTTATTCTAAGAAGAATGTCAAAGTATACCCTTCAGATACTATACGCAACACAGATTTATCAACGTACGTAAGTGTGAAATGATACCCAAATGACTCCAGTCTATTGTAATTTTTAACAAAAACAAATTATTTTACAGAACCAAAAACATTTGGGGAGGGTATCTGGAAGCAAGTTGTTAGCACCTAGGATCAAATAAACCATAGCCCTAATGATTCTCTCAATTTTCCAATTGAATATGTTTTGATAAAGGACTTTATCATAGAGAGAAAGAAATACAGTTTCATTTGTTCAACTTTGGCGATAGATTAGATTTTTCAAATGAACCTGCAGTATTTGCAGTTTTAGGGACAAATATTACCCAAATTTTACTAGAGGATGTCATTGAGAGAGTTTTATTACGGATATACTTTTACTCTAATCATTTTATAGATTGAAAATTTAAATAGAAATTAGCCTCATGAAAGTTTGTTACTATAGTTAATAAGCCAAAAGTAACAGCAACACTACCCTCCCCAAGATCACCACTTCATCATATTCATGACTGCAACAGATACTAGTATAGTATCATGTACATGAGATTCAAAGCTAAATGCCAACAACCCTTGTATACTTAGTGTATAATAACAACAATCATTATATGATTGTCTTATAAACAAGATAGATCACTACGTTATTTCATATTTCAACAAATATTAAGACTTGCCATACTAATCACATGAAAATAATCTCTTTAAACTTTAAAAGTGTTCTGTTTAATAGTCAGTCTTCATCAGTTCCATTTGAAGCTTAGGTAGATTTAATTACCACTTATGCAAAAATTTGTTTTAGGCACCTAATATTTTATTAAAGAACTATGTATTTCAATGATATTCCAATGGATATTTTGTAAAAAAACTACCTTATAAATTGGAGATTTTGTAAAAAAAAAACTACATTCATTTATGGCTGATAGTATGCCAGAGGAAATATCCACTTTACTAACCTTTTTTCTTTATTTGGTTTACACATTAACTACACCATCATCAGGTATATGTGATTAAAGGTTATAAGATCCTTTATAAGGACAAGTTCAAAAAATCTCTATATAGAACAACAAAAGCAAGTCTTCCTAAACAATTCATTTTAAAGCATAACAAAACACAATTAATATATCACAATGTGTACTTTACAAATTTTAGAAGATTTAAGTGCAAAAAATAAATCACATGATTAAGAGCAAGTATTACCTGCTGTGACCTTCTAGAATCAGCCATTATTAACCCTTCATCAATTTCATAGGAAAGATGTGATAGTCTCATCAAAATCTTTGTGCAAAACCAAGCTTTCTAGATAAGTCTGGAAAAAAATCCGGCTACTCATCATAGTTCTTGTTTGGTTGCTTGCAATGTTATAAGACATCGTAATGTGATTGTGAGTGTTGAACAACAAAAACGTATTGCTCTTTTGACCATATACAATACTTGAACAATCAAACACTTTGGGAGCATCTAAATTCGGATCTCCCTTAAACCATAGCCTCCATGGATTCTCTCCGCCATCTTTTTCCAAAACCCATATGCAGCTACTTTCAGATGACATCAATAAAACTCCCAAGGACTCGCCATGGGCAAAAATAAACCTATTAGTGCTTTCTTTCACAGCATCAGGCAGTTGCATAACACTAAATTCTTCGACATCAAAGTCATACAAGTATAGTTTCCCATTAGCTTGACGATTTCTATCAATCCAATATACAACCCCTCCACAACAAACTAACCCTCCTTCACGCCGAAACCCCGATATAGCCCAACCCGACTTACTCACCGGATTCTGTTTTTTTCTCCAAAGGTGATCAGTGAGTGAGTATACAGCAATCCAGGCATCATCATTAAACCTACGAATAATAGTCTTAATGGCAAGCACCTTATGATCATTACTAGAAGGGGAAAATCCTAAAGCATAAGCTACACAACAACGACGACTTCTACCCCAAGGACTCGCAAAAGGACAATGGGGAAGAAACAATGATTTTCTTATAGAAGGGTTCCACAATCGAACCGAATTTCTGCCATTTATCAACAAAATCAACCCATTACGGTTTCCAGAAATTGAATGTGGTTCAGGAAATTCAACAAGGTCTGCAATCTTGTTAAATGTGTCACAACAACGAATTGTGAAATTACATCCATCGCCTACAGATCTTTCAATTGCTATCAGATGATGAGTAACTTTTTGGGAATTGTAATTGTAACGTTTAAGATGCAAAGGAATGAAATTGGACGAATCAATGAAAGAACACCAGGTTTTACAAACAGACCTGAATTTCAAAAGGGTTTTTGAAGGTAGCCATGCCAAGATCTCCAACAATAATTCCTCCGGCAAGTTGTCGTCCCGTGAGAATTCCCTCTCCATACTACTTAATTCGGCCATTGAACTCATAATTAAGCCAAAGAGATAATGATTTGCAGAGTTGGTACTCTTGGAGTACTAGGTATTATTTCTTGGGGTGGGTTAATAACTTTAAAGCATCCTTTCATTAATTTATGGAGTCATTTGACCCAAAGCTTGGTTTATTGGAGTGCAAAACCGTTAGAGTGGCCCCCATAAATGGCTTAATTGGACGGAAACCGTTTACAGGTAATGCTAGATAAAAGCATCATTTTAATTTATTTATTGCCCAAATTTTATTGCCCATAACAAATTGCACTCCAGGGTCACTTAAAATTTATTTGATCGATCAAAAATGTAAAAAGTTTTGGATGTTAAGTACTCTCTTCGATATCAATTAAATTCCAACAATTGATTTTGTTAGTAACCAACCTAAACCAACACTTTTGTTTAATTTGTACTAATTATTAATATTTGGGTTTGAGCAATGCTTCAACTCGAATTTGTACCCGATCTATAAGGAACTTGAACTCAACCCAACACCCAATTAACCCAACCCCAATTCTACCAAAAACCAATTTGACCCGTCATATTGCCTAAAATGTCCACATCTAACTATCAGAACTATTCAGACGCCTTGCTTCACATTGTCTAATATGTCAACATCAAACTTTCATTATGCCTAAACATTTGATACCCGACCAATTCACCAATTACATCCTACACTAAAAATTCCAAGTACATGACATACACGCATATTTTTCTAGAAATATTAAATCAAATTCAGTAGATAAAAAATTGAAAAGACAGAGTATGTAATCAATATTCAAGAAAAAAATAGGGAACATGACCAAAAAAAAAAAAAAAGTTACAAACAACTCAACCGTCAATTGATTGGAAGCGACCCATCTACTTAAAATTGTTTATTTTGTGCTATCTTTACAAAATATAATTGCTACTAAATAACAGCAACAATTACTACTACAGTGTACTACCAAAACAAGGAAAAATATTGTCTAAAAATCAATCGAAAGCGAAGAATATAAGAACTAATAGGCTCCTAATAAAGAAGAAAACAGCATTATTAACGAACCATGAAATGTAGCTTAGAGTTGAACCTTTCAAAGACCAATTTGTAACCCCTTACTTGCTTGATCACTCAATATTATTTCCTTCAAGCAAGAGTACTAAGCTTTCCACATACCTATCAAGAAACTTAATCCTCACCCAAATAACATCAGAGAGCGCCTTCAATTCATCCTCATGATTTTCGAGGTCGTCGTCCGAAATCGATCCCTTAGGTATGTTACGAAACCACATCTCAACCTTATGACGCGACAAACCCCGGGCAACATTATTTGTAACATCCAATTTATATTGTTTAGTCCAAACAAAATCCGAACCGGAACTCGACTTTACTCCCTTCCATACACTACCATGTTGTCCATCAGGATTACCATAGCAGTCCAAAATTGCCAATGCATTATCCAAAACTGCCGAGCATCTCATGAGATACCGCTCCTCGGCCTTGACTTCGATGTCAGGGCATTTCATGCTAGTAAAAGCCTCTTTATCAAGATCGAAACACAGAAAATGCGTCAATTTTGTTGTATTGCTACTTTTCGCACTTCCAAGCCAATAAATCTCGTTGTCAAAATTCATAGGCATTGTGAATACGGTAAAATGCAACATAGGCCTTGGACCTTTCCTCTGTTTGGGGTTTAACCAAGAACGATTCCGTAGATTGAAAACCTTTGTTCTTTCCGAGAATCTCACCGAACTTACAGACACTTCCTTGTAAGTACTACTCACGGAATCAAACCCGAACCCGAGCTTGACCTTATAATCCCACCCTCCTGGTATAAAACATGGGATTTTTAAGCACTTTCGGATAGACGGATTCCACAGTATAATATCCGAGTCGTCGGTTTTGTGTTTTACAACATTAGTGTGCATTAGTAACACCCCATTGACATAACTCACAACACGGGTAACCATAGTATCTTGGAAGATTTCTGGTGTAATGAGCTGATCATCTTGAGTAAAGGAATCGGTTTGACGAATGGCTAACGTTCCTTGCTCTACTTGACGGCATAAGAAGTGGTTTCGAGGTTGAAGTTGAAGATGAAGTGAGGTGAAATCTTGATGGGTAATAATGGAATTCCATTCTTTGCAAACGCATAGTGATTTTATCATGTGTTTTACAGGGAGTTTTGTAAAAATATTCGTGAATAATTCACTTGGTAATTTATCGAACTAATTATTTATCGTCTCCGTCTTCTTTTTCTTCATCCTGTTTTTTGATTGAGTATTCGTCATTGATGGATTTATTTGATTGATTCGATTGAAGGCTATTAATTGAGAAAATTGGAAGAAAGGAGAGAAATTAATTTCGGGTTTCTTTGATTTGATTGAATGTTAGTTATGACACAAGCATAGAGCGCGGATGATTATATTGAAACGTTTTGTTGGATTAGGGCTTATTTTAGGCTCATGATGTGATTTGATCATAGATATCCAAAATTACTTTTTTTTTTTTTTTGAAGCCATTACCCAAGATAATTTCATAAGCTTATAATGTGACTCTTTATGCTCTTGATTATTTTTTTTTATTTTTTTGGAAATTGATAAAACTAGTACAGAGTATAAAAATTTAGATTTAAGTAGACTTATAATTAACTGAATATACAGCAAATGAGACCTCATCAGATCCACTAATAGTCTCAAAGGCAAGCACCTTATAATCATTACTAGAACATAAATTTAATTACTAAGACAAGAGGGAAGAAACAATGCACTTCTAATAGAAGGGTTCCACAATAATATTATCCCATCCCAATCATGTTCCAACAAAATCAACCCATTACAGCTTCCATTGCAAACTTCTTAAGTGTGTCAGTAAGACGAATAATGAATATAATTCCACCGAGATAAAAGCTTTCAATTGCTATCAGATGATGATCTAATTTATGGGAATTGTTGTTGTAAAGCTTAAGATGCAAAGAAATGAAATTGGAAGAATCAATTAAAGAACACCAGGTTTTACAAACAGACCTGATTTTTGAAAGGGTTTTTCAAGGTAGCCTTGCCAAGATCTCCATCAACAATTCCGTCGGCAAATTACTGTTCTTCGACAATTCCTCATCCCGTGAGAATTTCTTCTTGTTACTACTCATTTTCGCCATTGATCTCAATAAATCAATCGAAAGAGATGATGAGTTCCTACAGTTGGTACTCTCTTCGTATAAAAGAGAGACAAGGTTAAAACTTTTTTGGGGGGATTGAAACTTACAAGTGTCGTTTGAGTCTAATTGACCCAAGTTTGGTTTATTGCCCGTAAGGCCAGAAGTCCATAACAAAGTGCACTCAAGGGTCACTTACTAACTCAGCTACTACGAGTACATTTATTTGATCGACCAAAATTTTTAAAATATTTAGATGTAATTACTAGTTTTTGGGTTCGAGCGATGTTTCAAATTGTTTTTTAATCTGAATATAACTCGACACCTATTGAACATTTGAACCGACCTGTAACCAACTTGAACTTAACTCGAATTTGTACTCGATCTATAAACAACTTGAACTCAACGCGAATTCTAATTTGACTTGATGTGAACTCAACCCGACACCCAATTAACCCAACTCGAATTCTACCAAAAACCGATTTTTGACCGGCCCTATTATTAGGGGAATAAGGCTACTCCCTCCGGCCACTTTGTGCATTTGATACAATTAGACAGTCGAAAAAAAATTAACAAGTTGTGTGAAATTCTGAATAAGGCTTTTGAGTGGTCCTTGTTGGTCGGAAAAATAGATTTTCATGCAAGGCACGTGACTTTTTTTGGTCGGAAAAAGGTCAAAGGACCCTCGCCACCACCTAAGTGCAATAAAAGGACCTTTTGCGGCACCTTTTTTTATAAAAAAAACTTTTACAACAAAAAGACCTACTTAAAAGGAACTTTTTTACAAATTTTCCTAGTTTATAAACTATAAGCTGAAGAACGTTGATAAATAGCAACCACTACAACATACAATAAAATAATATATCTTGGATGACAATAACCCATAAAAAACCGTATTGAAAAGATATATGATTTGCAATTACAATCAAGGAAATTATCATATAAACTAGGAGCAACAATAGTTTAAAAACTCAATAAAAACATATTGTCATACAATGCAAGGAAATTTAACCTATAATGAATGTATCTTGGTTAAACTACACTAACCTCAAAGATAAGCTAGATACCACAATGTGAATCTATGTTCGGACTTGTTAAATTAAAATCATTTCCTGATGCCCTCATTTTGGACCGATTAATTATTTATCATCTCTTAGTTCATCAGTTTCTCTTTGTGGAAGGGGTGTCAAAGTCTGCCCTTTAGATACTTTGCTCATCACCAAGCTCTCCACATACGTACTTAAATATTGACAAAAACCTTGAAAAGAACTACTTAAGTCTTGTCTTTGATGATTCGCGAAATTATAAGAGCTCATGCTCTGGAAACCCATCAAAAGTACAGTTTTGTTGCGAACATAATGAGTTTGATAGCAATAATCCTCATATCCATCTCCGGATATCCAAAGACTCCATGACTCCTCTGCACCATCCTTTTTCAGTATCCATATGCGAGTCCTTTGCAAAGATAAGCTGCAAACTGCAATTGAGTCACCGAGGAGGATAGCATAACTCCTAATCCAAATTCCATTTTTCTGGGTATCCGGAATTTCCAAAAACCTAAGTTCCTCAGTATCGAAGTCAAATCGATAGAGAGCTTCAGATGAATAATAAACTCCAACCCAATATACAGCCCCTTGACAGAAAACACTTCGTCTTTCCATCCTATAAAAACATAATCGGTGAGCAAAAATCCCAGATTTAGTTTTCATCTTCCAACTATGATCGTTGAGCGAATATACAGCAATGGGTACTTCTACTACATCACTTATTGATTTAAGTCCTTGTTCAAAAGCAACCACTTTATAATCATTACAAGAAGGAGCATATCCAAGAGCATATCTTGCGGAGACCAAAGGGCAAAGGGGAAGAAGCAAAGACTTCCTAATAGACGGGTTCCACAGTCTGAAGGGAGTTCGACAGGGGCACGGGTAGGACGACCGCGGCCTCACCAACATCAACCCATTACAACAACTATAGAGAGTGTAAGATATAGATGTTTCATATAATTGAGCACTTTTAGTTAAAGGGCGTATGCCACTAGTACAATATATTGCATAAGTTCTTGATCGTCCGCCACCATAAGCCTCCTGCACTAATATACGATTTTTATTAGTATTGTAAACTTTAAGATGCATATTGATGAAATCTGACGAATCGATCATAGATCTCCAAGCTTTACAAACACATCTGAATCTAAGAAGGGTTTTCGCCGGCAACATCGCCAATATTTCTATTATTAGATCCCATGGCAAGCACTTGGGCTCTGATAAATCCATCAATCACCCTCACTCACAATGAAAATTTGACAAAATTTTTGTAACAGTAAAGATCTATAACCTAGGCAATCTTACTTTCTCGCTTAAAAAAGAAGTAAAATTGACTTTTTATTAAGCTTCCACACAATTTAGGGTTACCTAAAACTCTTCTTCCCTGCCAAAAATAACTGGATATATTTTTAATAAATAATAATTAAATAAATAAACAAAACAATTTACAAGGCTGGCCAAAAAATTTTAGGAAACATGTTACATCGAGTTGGGAGATGAAGAGTAAAATATTAGTGTGCAATTTGTAAAATACCAAAAATACCCTCCCACTTTGGATTTTTAAGAAAAGGTTGTTAAGCTTTTTTTTTAAAATAAATTAAATAAAGTTTCTCAGTAAATAAAATATAGAGTAACGTTTTTTTGGAAAATTGTCCGAAATAATCCAACTTTTGGGTCATCCGTTAAAAATGATCCCACCTTTGAGTTCCTTATAAATAATCCCACCTTTACCCCCCGATCTTTTTTAATGGTCCCATTTTACCTGGAACAGGTTGAGTAGGTAAATTTTTTTTTAAAGTTTAATTTACACGTGTCATTACTTGATTGGTAAAAAAAAATTAGAAAACCAACCACCGCCACACCAATTCAGCCACCACCATCCACTACAAGAATCAGGTCGAATTTCGACGGACACGTAATTCTGTCAGACAAATCGGAATTTCCGATGGATTTATTTTCCAGCGGATATTCCGACAAATTCAAATATTCCGTCAGAAATCCGTCGAAAATTTCCGACGAAAAATTATTCCGGCGGAAAATATGTACTTTCCGACGGATTTTTCCGTCGGAACACTAAATTTCCGATGGAAAATATGTACTTTCCGACGGAAAAATTCCGTCGGAATCACCCTGAATTCCGTCAGAAACCCGTTCGACGGAATTTCCGTCGAAACGGGTTGTCGGAAACCCTTTTGTAGGAAAAACGACATTTTTCGTCGGAATTGTTTCATCGAAAGAGGAATTCCGGCACCGGAAAAGTCCGTCGGAAATTTTCGACGGAAAATCCTGTAAAAAAAAATTGCCCTACCCGTTACCACCACCACCCCCCACCACTAAACCACCACCTCCACCCCTGGCCACTAGCCTCCACATCAACAAATAAAATTACAAAAACTCCTCAAATATTCCCCAGAACTAACCACGCACCACCCACCACCCTAACCGACCCACCACAACCCACCTAAACCTAAAACTGACCCAGATCCACCCACCTACACCTAAAACGACCCAGACCCACCCACTACAACCCACCTAAACCTAACACCGACCCAGACCCACCCACCACAACCCTCCTAAAACCAAGACGGACCACCACAAATACCTAAAACCTAACTAAAACCGACCAAACCCCCTACCAAAACCCACCTAAAACTGACCCAAATCCACCCACCAAAACCCACCTACACCTAAAACGACCTAGACCCACCCACTACAACCCATCTAAACCTAACACCGACCCAGACCCACCCACCACAACCCTCCTAAAACCAAGACGAACCACCACAAACACCGCACCTTAACCCAGACCCACCTAACCACAACCCTCCTAAAACCAAGACGGTCCACCACAAACACCGAATACCCAGATCCACCAACCACCACCACCGCACCCTAACCCAGACCCACCTAACCCAGACCCACCAAACTCAAGCCAAACCCAGACCCACCTACCCAAACCCTGACCGAACCCACACCCAATCCGACCCACCTAAAACCATCATCATGAACGGCCAAACAACCACCACTGCCCAAAAATTTAATAAAAAATTCAAAAACATAAATTAAAAACAGTAAAACGTACCTTAAAAAACCGAATTAGCTTCAAATTTCACCTTGAACTTGGTTTACTAAGGCCAAATCCAATCATGAAAATTCTAAATCTAGCATTTTTATGGTCGAATTTGACCTTAAAAACCATTAATGTGTTATTAACCATCACTATTATCGGCTTTTACCCATCATGGAAAAAATCAGAGTAGAGAAAAAGAAGAGAAGGGCGTGAGAGAGAAGAATGTGAGAAAAATCAGAGAAGAGAAGGGGCGTGAAAAGAGAAGAGGAAAGAGGAGAGGAGACAGAAAGAGAAGAGGAAAGAGGAGAGGAGAGAGAAAGAGAAGAGAGGCGGAGAGAGAGAAGATGAGAGGAAAGAGAAATGAGAAATGAAAGGGGGAGGGGGTAGTTCCGTTTTTATTAGGGTTTAGGTTTTTTTATTTATTTTTTTAAAAAAAAACCATAATTCCGTCAAAAAGGGTTTAAATTTTCGTCAGAAATCTCCTACGGATTTAAAATCCGTCGGAAACTAAATATATTCCGATGGATTTAAATTCCATCGGAAATGTCCGACGGACTTTCGACGGAAAATCTAAATTCGTCGGAAATTTCCGACGGAATTTAAATCCATCGGAAATTACGTTTTTTTTTTACGGATTTTCGTGTCCGTCGAAAATTGACCTTTTTCTAGTAGTGGGTGTCGGTGGTGGTTTGTTAAGTTGGGGTTAATTTTTGGTGGTGTCAGTGGTGGTGTGTATGTGAAGGTGGGATAGGGGCTGGTGTGGTTGGAGTCGGTGGTTGTATGGTTGGGGATTGTGTGCAGTGGGTCTGGTTGGGTGGGCTGGTGGTTCTGGGGTGGGGGCTGGTGGTTTGGGCGGTTGTAGGGAATATTTCAAACATCAACTTTGAGCCCCACTGTGATCATGCATCTTAGCATGGTGGCGTCCAAAGGGAAAAAAGCTGGAGATAAAAAGTCGCCAATAAGTTTTAGGAACTTGTAAATCGTTCGCGGGTGTGAAGGTTACACCCCCCTTTCACGATCACGGAGATCGCTAACTCCATAGTGGTCCGCAACCATGACTGGATATTCGGGGATAATGGTACGAATCCAACCTAGAAGAGATTGAACTCGCCCTAAATCGGCCTCTACTTAATTCTTATGATATTCATGGGCGCTTTCCAATCAACATACATCCAACAAGTTAATCTTAAACCTGTTTAATCTATGTTGGTTGATTATTAATGCACAAACAAATCTATTATTGGCAATCACTTGAATTAAAATTAAATCATGTTAACCTAAAATAAAATTACAAATTATCTTATTAGGCGTGATTTCAAGTACAAATTCTCTTTAAACCTGCAAGAAAATGGCGTGATCAAGCAATACCAATAATATAAAAATAATCACAATCGAGCAACATATAATAATAATTAATTGACACAACAAATCATCATCATAATAATATCCTCATAATATCAATAAATCATGATCTCATCAAAACATGATTAATAGCAAGCTCCTAGGCATGATACTAAACAGATTAATAACAAACCCTAGCATGTCACTAAATAAAAATCAAAGCTTTAGCCTAAACATGATACTAAAAATCATAAAAGCATTCTAACATACTAGGAATTAAAATAATATTAGAAATATTAAAATAATACCCTAACATGATACTAGAAATCATAAAAGCATTCTAACATGATACTAGAAAGCATGGAAGCATCCTAACATGATACTAGGAATTAAAATAATATTCTAAGCATGATTTCTATATAAAAGGAATAATTAAGATAGAAGATCTACTCACTTTGATGTCTCATATCTTTTTCAATCAAAACAATAAACACGTTAGTAAATTCAAGAAAGAAATAAATCAAACAAATAAATAACATAATAATTGAAATATAGATTAGGGACCAAACCCTCAGAACTATCAACCTTTCACGTCAAGGTCGAAGGCAACTACGAGAAGGGCTTGGAGTATTCAAGTCTTGCAAAGGACGTATGGTGTGTGATGTGTTTAGGCTAAGGCTAAGAAAGATAGAGAGAGGAAAGTTTATAGCTTAGAGAGGGATTAAGATGATGATTGTTGGTGATTCAAAACTGAGGAAAACGTCCCCTATTTATAGGGAAAAACGAGGGAAAAGATCAGAAAAAAGAGTCAGAATTCGACTTGGAGTAAAACTGATCGTATCGCGAAACGCCAGATATATCGCGGCGCGATACTTATATCGCTGCGTGATATTAGTATCGCGACGCGATAAAAGCATCGTCCAGCGATATTTTTGAAGATAGAATCCGTACAAAATCCGACCTCCAATCAAATTGGGTTTGGTTTTTGGGGAGACATGATCAGGTGTCTACAGCGGTGGTGGTGCAGTTTTTTTTTTCTTTTTTGAATGGATTTTTCGGGGGAATTTTCGTCGGAATTTTCCGGCGGAAAATTATCCGTCGAAAATTTTTGACGGACTTTTTCAGGCCGGAAAATGTCTTCCGACAGAAAATTTCCGTCGAAAAAGGTCGTTTTTCCTACAAAACCTCTTCCGATAATCGCATCCGACGGAATTTCTAAAACAAAATAAACCCAATAACACAGGGGATAGAATAAGTGGAAAACTGAAACAGAATATCTACCACAAGTTTTTTTTTTTTTTTTAAATATGTGTATTTCATTGACACCAATGGCAATGAGATAGACTTTATAGCTTCATTTGGTAGTAAATTAAACTCAAGGACAGTTTGCTGTGGGAAAAAAAAAAGTATAAAATGCACAATATAATAAACATAGGGGTAGCAAATGACTCTTCCGCTTGGACACCATAATAATGTAATCCAAAGTCTGGAGTTTTTGTTTTGTTTGGATCCAGAGTTTGGATTCTACCTTGGAGATGGATCCATTCCAAATCCGAGCCATGAATTCGTCTTTATAAACAATCAAATTTTATTTCTAATTATAAAAATATATCCATTATTTAATTTAAATACTTTTAGTGTTACTCATGTTGTTAATTTTTATCATTTCCGATAATACTTAAGATATATTTAAAATATTTTTAATTGTGGAATTTTTCATTAAAAACGTAATTTAAAATAAATATGTTTAAGGCATAAAATTTTCACGTGGATCTAAATATACTTATTAAAAAGGAGATTTGTATGGATTAAATAGAAT